GTAAGGCTTTCTTGAAGCCTCAATAAACAGCCTGCGGGTGATAGGTCTTAAGTTCAACACCAAACCAAAACACTCTCTTCACCATCAACCTTCCAAAGTTTTATATTGTGACAACACTGTCTCAACATGTCCACTCTTCACTCTATCAAACATGTCCACTCTTCACTCCGCCAACACTGCCAAACATGTCCACTATTCACTTTGATAAACGTGACAACTCTTCTGTTAACCAACACTGCCAAATAGGCTTCTTCATATATTTGTTTATATATGATATATTTGTAGACGACATTTGAATTTGTTCCAGGTTCTGGATATTGTCGACGACAGCCAAGACCTGTTTCCCTTTATTCCCATCTCCTCACTACTTCCCCTTATCCAGCTTCCCGTCAGTAATCCTCTGTAGATTACATCCAAAGCCACCAAACCTCCTCATCTCCGCACTCTCTCTTTTGCTTCCCCTTAAATGTACACTTTTCTTCCAGTTTGCCCTCACGACTTATTTTCCCAATATTTCCAGCAATCTTCAAACTCCCCTTACTCTAATTTCCACAAGCCACAAAGTTCCCTTCCTCAATTTCCCCTCTTCCTGCGCTCTCTCTCGTGATATCCTCTTCTCCATCTTCCCTCTCTCCTTCACCCTTCACCCTCTCTCCTTCACCCTTCACACGTTGTCCATTAACTCCCTTCCCACACCACTATTTGGTTGCTGTAAGGATCAAATAATCTGTGGACTTTTATTCTCTTTCTCTCTCTCTCTCTCTCTCTCTCTTTCTCTCTCTCTCTCTCTCTCTCTCTCTCTCTCTCTCTCTCTCTCTCTCTCTCTCTCTCTCTCTCTCTCTCTCTCTCTCTCTCTCTCTCTCTCTCTCTCTCTCTCCCTCTCTCTCTCTCTCTCTCTCTCCTCCGCTCTCTCTCTGTCTCCTCTCTCTCTCTCTCTCTCTCTCTCTCTCTCTCTCTCTCTCTCTCTCTCTCTCTCTCTCTCTCTCTCTCTCTCTCTCTCTCTCTCTCTCTCTCTCTCCGCTCTCTCTCTCTCTCTCCTCCTCTCTCTCTCTCTCTCCTCTCTCTCTCTCTCTCTCTCTCTCTCTCTCTCTCTCTCTCTCTCTCTCTCTCTCTCTCTCTCTCTCTCTCTCTCTCTCTCTCTCTCTCTCTCTCTCTCTCTCTCTCTCTCTCTCCGCTCTCTCTCTGTCTCCCCTCTCTCTCTCTCTCTCTCTCTCTCTCTCTCTCTCTCTCTCTCTCTCTCTCTCTCTCTCTCTCTCTCTCTCTCTCTCTCTCTCTCTCTCTCTCTCTCTCTCTCTCTCTCTCTTTCTCTCTCTCTCTTTTAAATTAAGGCTAAGGCTTATAAAGGCTGTCAAATGACGTACCTAGTGAAACTGCAAGCAAGAGCTGTTAGCCTACCTCAGCTCATCTGAAGCCTGCTCCTAGAAACTCATTAATTTCACGATAATATACTTTAAGCCTATTAGATAGGGAACTATCATATAAGGAACCTGGTGAACCTGCAAGTAGGAGCTGCAATCCTTCCTCAGCCAAGTTAAAACCTGCTCATAGAGGCCCATTTATTTCATGAGTCTGTTATATGTGTCAGTAGGAATAGCCTCTAATTCATTAGCAACATTAGGTAACAATTATATAAAGAACTGGATGAGGCTGTAGCCAGCTGTGTGCCAGAGTCTTCATGTGATCAATTGACCTGATCTCCCGTGTATCAACCTGTTGAGCAAACAAGTTCCAGATGCAAGTCAGCCTAGGAGTGAATGATCGCTGATGGAGTGATGTTCTTGAGATTGGCCCTTCCAGCATGAGACTGTTGAAGGTTCAGAGCCTAGTGCTATGGGTGGCAACTACTGGTAATCCAATGAATTGGGCCAGGTGCGAAACTTTGAGGATGTTGGCCTTGTACATAACAGTAAGACCACCAATGCAATGACGGTGTTGCAGGCTCTGTTATTCAGACCGTTCCCACCAGACTTGGTCAAGACTAGAGATGAGCCTTCTTGCCCGTCTCTCCACTTTGTCCTACAGTCTGATGAATAATGGGGGGGGGGAGACGATTCAGGAAAAGGATGCATACTTTCGATGAGAGCGAACTTGTGTTTCACATAAGGTTTTGCTGCCCTTGCTGTCAAGACTGTCTTTTGTGCTATATTAAGCACATGGCTCTTCATTGTCATTGAAGAGTCGAACTTCATTCCTAAGATGTCAGTTTTATCTGTGAACTCTCTCAGGTTTTGCCACCCATTTGCAAGCCTGTCCGATTTGCCATGTGCAGTCTACTTATCATCATTACTTGTGTCTTCTCAGCCGCAAATGTGCCCAGCAATCTCCTACCCCCAGGTAGAAATCGCTGAAAGTTGGTGATTGATGATTCTTGCAGCAGTTGACATTTCTTCCTTTCTGTATATGAAGGTTAGAGTGCAATTATCAGCAAGTTAGAGTGCAATCATTAGTTAGAACAAGAGAAAGAAAAAGAGAAAACCAGAGTACGAGATCAGGAAATAGAACAAGAAAAAGAAAGAAAACGAGACAAATGGAGATAGAAGCGAACAGAGCTATAGTGGAGCATAGGATTGAACGTGGGTTGCCAGAGAACACAATACACCTGTCACACCCACCAGATAATAGAGTGAGGGAGAATTATATACCACTGTTTGTGCCGGAAAAGTCTGAAAGTTTCTTTGAGAAGTTTGAAAATGTGGCCGGTATCAAACAGTGGCCCCAAGAAGAATAGACACAGTCCAGTTAAGATTGACTGGTGCTCCCAGAGAGGCAGTTGACTCTAGAAGAGTATCAAGTCTACTGGACAGTAAAGAATAGTGTGTTGAGATCGTTTACTGCTAACTCCCGAAGCTTACAGAAAGGGATTTCGAGATATGATGAAAGCTCCAGCCAGCACTGTCGCAGAGACAGCTAGGGACCTGGAACGAAGTTTCAAAGATGGTTTGAAGCTGTCTGAGTGGAGTCATACAGTGACTTAATACAATTAATGGTGATGGAGGAGATTTTAGAGATAATGCACCCCGAGACAAAATTTAAAATTTAAGAGGCAGGAGTGAGGATTGTCAAGGATGCAGCAGACAGGAGGGACAAGATCACAGAAGCCTATCGAAGCTTAAGAGAACGTAAGATGAGGAGTCATACACGACGGAACTATAGCAGATGCAGTGGATCCTGGGGGTGAGAAAAATTTTGTCAAACAGGTGAATAAAGCAGTGAGCCCTAAACTTATGAAAGGAAGTTTCAGAGTCCACATACAAGGAGACAAGCAAAAGACAAAGTCTGTACAAAGACATTGGGAGACAAGCCAGACACAGCCTAGTGCAGGTGGTGCGCCTGTATAGAGAAGCGCCAACACGACAAATGGACAGAACCGAAGGAGCCACTGAGGTGGACAGAATAACACAGGATGGGGAAGGAATATCTTCCAGATAAGATGTTATATTTGTTAGGTATAGTCACGTAATGAGAAATTGCAGACAGGGAAAGAAAGTGGTGACCTTGCAATGTATGTGCCCCAAAACTCATGTGATATTTTGATAAGAAACGAACAGCAGAACGAGAGATTAATGGACGAGAGATACAGTCCGTTCACCAGTAAAGGTTGGGTCAGCATGGGAGAGACCAACCTGAAACAGAAGTAAAAATCCTCAGATACAGGGGCGAATCAGAGCTTGATTCTAAAGAGCTTACATTCTAAAGATATCTGGGATGAAAGACTTATAGCAGACAGTCGCAGAATACGGGTGCATTAGTTATTGTCGGAGAGTGACATGCCCATATGTGCTGTGAGACTGGGGTCTTAGTATTTATCGGCGGAGGTAATGTTAGGGATGTGTGTGGGATATTCCCCAGCAGTCAGTTGTTGAATTTAATTTATTTAATTAAGCGGTCTGTATTAAAGGAGTGGACTGGGCAAAAATAATATCATGTAATGCACAGTTATCAACACCAAATATGTTCGAGGAAAAATTAAGCAATTGCTGAAAATATAGCTCGCCCTGGTTTTTGGAGTTCGCAGGTATCATAACCGAGCAACGTTTAGTTAATCATGAAATGGCCACTACATAAATTAACTCGATAACCCGGGCAGATACTTCCTTGTTATAGAGTTATGCAGTTGGGTGGAATTCCTTTGTTACAGGTCTCAGGAAGTCTGCACTTGTTAATATTCTGATGATTTGTGCAATTGTGAGTAGTCTGGAGCACAAGTATGGCATCAATTCTTTAGGAAGACTAGTGCATCTGCACGTTCCAGCCGCCATGTGCTAACTGGCTTGGCGTCACTCGCCCGGCCCTTCCTCCCTGCATTCGATCTAGATGCGTCTAGATACTTTTATTTAATTATTGGTTATAGGAGGAGGGGTATAATTATTTATTATTTACTAATAATTTAAGTCTTTAATGAATATTAAAGTATTTTAATTTTATTTTCTTTAGTATTTTAACATAAAAACTGGAAATATTATTAGTTCATTAAGGGGAAGTATACAGTACTAGACGTTTGGCTGACGCAATACCTCCCCTGGTGTTGTCAGAGAATCTCTCAGTATTCTCGCTCTGACAAAATTAATAATATTAGTATTAATAATGGACTGATCTAACTATTTTAATTAAGCAGGTCAGATGTTAGTAATGGTTGTCAGAAATTTCCGACATAATTCCGGGTGAGACAGACACGGGTCAGAGTCCACTGTTTAGGACTGATGCACACTGATACTCCCCCTCGAAATTATATTTGATATTAGATTAGTAATATGTCTGTACGTCTGTTCATACAGTACGGATGTCACGTATTAGAGTTGTAGGTGTTAGAAAACTGTAAGTAGTTTCACTTTCCTGCTAACTCGGGTTATGCTAGGTTTTCTAGCTTGATTAAATTTTAATATACTTGGAGGACTGAATGATAAATTACAACAGTCAAGTATGGTTCCAGGACTGCAGTGGGATCAATGGCATTGGTCGTTGTGACTTGCAGCTGTTCAGACTATTGGTCACTCACTGACCATCCACTGAGAACCATCTCGGCTAATGATGACTACTAAATTCATTCTTCATTTTGTATTCAGCTGTATTCACTAAAGGCTGTAATATTGTTAAAGTTTAATTCTGCACTGTTGTGCTGCAGTTCGTTCTGGACATGTGTTCCTTTCTGGTGGAGTGTTCCTTTCTGGAAGAGTGCTCCTTTCTGGAGTGGCAGGTGTTATTGGTCTTTGAGTGACTTCATTTCCTGCCAGCTCTAGAGGAACTAATTTTTCTAATGTCTTAGGAGTAGTGGTGCCTCGGCACTTGACGTTCACTATTCTTAAGATGCCTTGGTGGTCTGGATGTGCAGAAACTATTTGACCTATAGGCCTCTCTGGGCATGGTCCGTCACTGTCTACCAGTAAAATATCACCAGGATTTAGATTAATTATTGTAGGGGCTACTTGCTCCATAATGATATTCTCTCAAAGCAGTTAGATATTCTCGATTCCACACATCATTCCACTGACCTATCACTCTTGACAGGTGTTTGAAACTTTGGACTAAGTCACTCCCACTGACGTATAAAGTATCTTCTGGTTCCTCGTCCGTTAGGGACACTAGAGGGCTGAGAAGCCCCTCATAAATCAGATGGGATGGACTTAGAGGTTCTCGTTGTGAAATATCATCAGAGAGGTAGGTCAGGGGTTGGTTGTTGACTCGAGCTTCTGTGTTTCTATGGCAATGAAACACTTCTGTGTTTTTATGTTTTGGAGTTCTAGTAGGTTGATTTTTTGATGGTGTGCGGGCTTTCTTAGGCAACGTTTTACCGCCCCTATCATACGTTCATTGAACCCTCCATGACACGGTGCTCTGGAAGGTATGAACTTCCAGTTCCACTGCCTTTGTTTGAGGGCAGAATGTACTTCTGGGTGGTTCCAAATTTCTGGCAGACAGGCTTTCCCAGCCACAAAGTTGGACCCATTGTCTGAGATCATTAACTTGGGGCCAGGATCGATGAACAACAAACCTGCAGAATGCCTATAAAAAGGCCTCAACACTTATGTCGGGAGTCACTTCTAGGTGTACTCTCCTTGTGGTAGCACAAGTGAAGAGGCAAATGTACGGTTTCACCGGAACCTTGTCTTTGGTGTCTGTGAGGGTTAATGCTCGTGTAATCTACCATAGTGGTCTCAAAAGGACGAAGGTGGACAACTCGTTCTCTAGGAAGTGGTGGAGGCCCTGGATAAGCATCCAGGGTCTCACCTGAGCAACATACCTCTGGCAGATAACACCGGATTTTATTATCCTGACGACCTTGAGGAAGCCAGAACTGTTATCTGAGATCGGTGAGAGTATCTAGTACTCCACCATGTAAAGTGCCGAGCTTGTGTATGTGTAACACAATCAGTCGGCTGATGATGTGGTGATGGGGGAGTAATATTGGATTCTTTACATCCAAGTCAAGATTGGCATGTGCTAATCGTCCTCTGCACCTTAGTATGTTGTTACTATCTATGTCAGTCCAGAGACCTAGATCATTCTCAATTTTTTTAGGGACATTTGCAAAGTCCTTCCCATATGTTTCAGTCTGGGCTTTTTTGACCCAGTACTTCAAGGGAGTAGGATATTGGTGTTAGATTCCCATTTTGTTCAGGAAATCAAATGTTATTTTGTTACACCTAGTAATTTACTTAATTCAGAGTACTGACTAGGATTAATTGTCAGAGTCTGAGGTGATTCTGGGTTCACGGTGGGAACAGCGACATTGGTCACTATGACGTGTGGCTTTTGTTTAGGCCACTGGTCACTGACTAGCCACTGAGGTCCATTGAACCACTTCTCGGCTCTGGCTAATTGCCTTAACGTCAATCCTCTGGAAAGGTAGTCAGCTGGATTGTCAATGGTAGGTACATATCTTAGTTTGTGCCCTGCAGACAATTCCTTTATTTCCCTAACACGATTAATAACATAGGGAGCTTTGTTGTTATCATTCCTTACCCACTGTAAGACTGCCTCATTTTCTGACCATACCACTGTTTCTGTAAAGTGGAGATTATTTAAAGTTTTGGTCAGGTAATGAGCCAATCTAACCCCTATTAGGAGTGTAGTTAATTCTAGTTGTAGCAATGACCGTTTCTTTAACGATGCCACCGTAGCTTTAGATGCGAGTAGGGTTACCTGATTATTTGTCACTAAATAGGCTGCAGCGCCATACGCCTTTCCTGAGGTATCACGAACACATGCGGTTTAATAGGTTGATCAGGCTTTATAGTATTATGAGGAAACTTAAGGTTATTTAGGATACATAGATCCTTTGTCAAATGTTGCAATTTTTCCAGTAAGGCATTGGGTAACTGATCATCCCAACCTAATTTATTTTGCCAGCATTCCTACATAAGCAGTTTACCCTTAATTAATATGGGACATACTATCCCCAAAGAATCAAACGGTTTGCTGAGTTGTGATAACAGTTTCCTCATAGTTAAGTTGGCGGTATCTGGTTCCCCCAACTTAATAGTTAACACATCTAAAGTCATATCCCACTCAACTCCTAATACTTTTAGTTTCTGAGGTACCTACTAGTTGGAAAACTCGGCTTCACTTAATTTAATTTAGGATTATTGGAGGCCCATGACTGGAGAGGCATATTTGCTCCCATCAACTCTCAATTAGCCTGATGATATATGTTTAGCAGTTTTTCTTCACTGCTAGTAGTTCCCTGGAAATTAGCTACATACAGGTTATTGCTGATTTCAGTTTTATTTTGACTATTAGACTTCTTCAAGTGCATATCTAAGGTTGCTTGAAGCAGAAATTGTGAAAAAGTAGCACCAAACAAAACTGATGCAAATCTGTATGATTATTTCACTGTTTGGATCACTGGGATCCTTGATCCATAGGAACATAGTATAATTACTGTCTTCTTCTTGTAGACCTACCCTAAGAATGCCTTACTTATGTTAGCCATGTTTGCATAAGTCCCTATATAAAATCTTAACCGCACATCATATAGCCACTTTGTTGATTTTTTTTATAGATAATTGAGTCTAGGTACTGTTTATGTGTCCATGTATCATCTAGACTGAGTTGTTCAGGGACAATGCCTAAGGTGTCTAGATCCCATAATTTGTGTACAGGGGGATTGAGCTCATCCACGGACATGTCACTGAAATTAAGTGGTGACTACTCGAAGCCTAGTCACACAACCATCACTGGGATCACTAGTTTACTGTTAGCAGATATTGGTTGCTTCTGACTCAATACTGGGCCTGTGAGCAAATTACCTCTTGCAGACAATAGCAGGATTATTCCCTGTCGTTTAGTGCTTCCAGTGATGTATTTGTGGTAATAGTCTGCCCCTACAAGTATACCTATATCGGTGCCTTTACTTTGAAGGCTGTGCTTCGTAGACCATGAACATATAGGTCAGATGGGATTTTGTCAACCACTATGGCCTGTACTGATCAAGTATAGTCACCAAGGTATACTAGTGGTCTCCCTGCGTTATATTCTTGGGGCCCCGTGTTGGTCAGGAACCCTGAGATGTTTCATTTTATTTGTCATATTGGTTTGAGTTTTAAGGCATCTGCCACTTTCTTGGTGACAAACGTCTCTTAAGATTCTTGATCAAATAAACCACGAATGGTAATATTGGACCTCTTGGTTTTAAGATGTAATTGAGCAGTTGGTAAAGTTGCATTATTGTCGGTTTTTGTGGTTAGTGCGTTAATTCCTGTCGTACTTTACAGTGCTGCACAACGGTGGAAGTTTCTTCTTCGACCTGGGGTTTGGGCGACCTTGGTCTAGTGTCCCCACACAGTACTGTATGGTGTTGACCCTTAATAGTTAACTATTAAGGAACTTTAATACTATGAGTTAGTATTAAAGGTTCCTTGCATGTGCATAGTGGTGTTGAACATGTTCTGGGGGTCATGTGATTTTGAGCATCTGGTTCATTTGTGCAACTCTTTAAGACGTTTTATTTTGGAGGTATGATCAGGGTAAGTTTGCAGTGGTACAACGAATGTTTCCTTTGACCGAACAAACAGTGTCTCCCTCCTATAGTAGTTTTAGGAGTCACTGTCTTGGGTGACACTGTGTCTGTAGGTTGGGAGGGACTCACTGTGTACGTACCTACACTGCTATTTTTTCACCTTGGAGTGGTAACAGATGTTTTATGTTTATTGGCTTTATTGATGACACTCATTCGTTTCACTGATTTATCAGTGGGAGATCTGTAAGTGTCAGATTTTATTTTGTCATGAGCTTTCAGCTGGTTGACAGTTATTCTTAATCCCTCAAAAATCTCATCAAGGGAGAGTATATCAGTTTTGCAGTGTAAGCAGATTTCTGCTAAAACATCCCAAGGAAGTTTCCTCTGGATGAATAGCTTTAATGACCATCCGGAAGCCTGCACATCTACCTTAGTGCTAAGGGCTTTCACAAGTGACTCCACCTCTAACCTAAAATCTTGAAGGGAGTCTGGTCTATCGCTTGGAGGAATTGATAAAAAAGATTAGCTATACTTAATTCTTTATTGTGGTAATTATTTTCCAACAACTGTTTTGCTATATCATAAGTGTCATTATCAAGAGACTGATTAGCTATCACCTTCTTAGCTTCTCCTCTGAGAGGCTTTGAAGGTATGTGAACTTTGTCACCTTTGAGATGGATGCTTTAGAAAGTACATGAGCATTAAAAGACATACAAATGGTGTCCCAATTTTTCTTCATCCAGTCCAGCAAGGTTGGGAAGTCCAGGGGAGGTACTCTTGCCTCTGAGCTGCACTGGATTGAGACACATTGTTTGAGTTAGGTGTTACTTTATGAGCACTTAGTAAATTGAGTAGAGGATTGAACCTTCCCTGTATGTCATCCTCATACATGACTAATTCTGTCATAATTTGGCCTGTTTTATGAGGGTCAGTGTTACTTGCATTGAGTACACCTATGTACGACCTTTGTATGTATGTACTTTGCTTTGACTCGATCGAATTTGCCATCAGCTACTCTTAGTGAGATTTCCGGTTGGTTATAATCAACTGGTGACTCTTGT